AGAAAATGTCATTTACTTATACATGAAATTCTGAAACCTGCCATGACCATTTGAAAGCAGATTTTACAGATGAACAAACTGAGGCATAAATATGTTAAGCAGTGTGCCCAAGATAAAATATTAAAAGTAGCAATGTCAGAAATGGAAAATTCTCCAAATTTCTAACTAAAATATTAAAAGTGCAATTTTTATGCAGTCTTCTTACCCTATAATTTTATTGACTGTTTTCTGGTAAGGACTGAAGAATTACTGAGTGTTTTATTTTATTTGTAAGAAGGCTTTAAAAGGCTTTTGAGAGCTTTGACATACAGCAAATTAAACAATAAGAGAAAGAGAGCTCTTGAGGTCAAGCTCCTTAGACAAGAGATTAAAGGAAAAAGTATGGGAAGATATTGGAAACATTTATCAGCTCTAGCTTTTAGAGCTCTTGCTATGGTCTTGAATCATCAACTTATCACAAGGTAAGCTCCTGACATTTTACAATATAGAAGTGAGACAGATAGTTAGCAACTAGAAATAATTCATTGTTAAATGTTTTTAATTTATATTTTGATATACTTTTGATGTTCCAATAATTCTTAAAAATTTTAAATCTGCTCTCTATCTTATTATCCTTGATTAGTCATATTATTTTAATCATTCATAGGGAATGACTAAATTAGTTAGATATCCCCCTCTGTACTATTTTCTTTAAAAAAAGGTTGTTAGATTTTGTAATCAGAACATGAGTATCTGTTAGTAAATTATACAGTAATACAAAGTTAAATTCTATACATCATTGGGAGCAAGTCATACATGTTATGGGCAAGTCAGGAATTTGGACATTAAGTAGAGTGGATTAATTAATGTCTTTTCCTATAAATATTTTACATTTTTTCCAATGATAATTTGATTTAGAAAATAGTAATAAGTATTTTCAAATATCATACTCCTGTACTCCAAAACTATCAAAGCTAATGTGAGTACATTGTAAAATCCATATATCTCTTGAACAAGCATGAGTTATTAAATAACATATTGGTTAAATGTTTTCTTTGTGCAAAGCACTATTGGAGATACAGGAGTGATAAAAACCAAATCCCTTATTTTGTGAAGTTGCCATACCAAGGATAGGCCAAATAATAAAAAAAAATGAAAAAGGAAATAAGTGTTAGTAAAGAAAAGGAACAAGGAAGAGTAATAGAAAACATTGCCAGATTTTGCAATTTACCAAGATAGTAAGGAAAGTCCCCAAGAAAACAGTGACATTTAAGACCTAAAGAAGTACTAGTTTTGAGTAGTGAATGATGTTATTCGACTTGATTTAACAGGCTAGTTCTGTTGCTATGTAGGGAATAAATTGAAGATGCTAAGGGCAGAAACAGAGGAAAGATTTAGGAGTTCTGGCAGTTGAGGAGGTTAAAATTTGTCAGAGTCTGGATATATGTGAAGGTATCATCATGAAGATGGATTGTAGGTGGGTTGTGAGATTAGGAGATGAGCTGTGATGCCTCTAAGTGTTTGTCTTCAGCTATTTGAAGGATATAGTTCTACTTGTTGAACTGGAAAAATTTTGAGGGTAACACAGTGTTCCGTTTTAGATAGATGAAATTTAAGATGCCTGGTAGATAGATACATAGATGGATACATACATAGATACATAGGTAAATGGATTTGTAGTTCAGGGGAAGAGAATAAGCTGCAGTTACATGTTTATGAGCCATCAATAGGCAGGTGATATTTAAAACCATGGAACTAAGTAAGATAAATGACTAAATTGGGGAGAAGTTCCAATGACTGAGTTGGTGACACTCCACACCCAATAAGATAATGAAAAAACAAGTGGAAAGGGAGAAGCCAATAATGTAGGTTTAAAAAGAAAAAAAAAATGTGTGTGGTATTATCCTGGAACTCAAAGAGCAAAAGTGTTCTAAGGAGGATGTTCTTACCAGTGGCAAATGTTGCTGATATATAGAGTAAAATAAAATGAGAGTGACCTTTGACTTAGCACGGTGTTTACCACTGTCTCACCAGTGACCTCAGCAAGTTCATATCTTGAGAAGTGATGGAGGCAAATGTCTGAACAGAGTGGGTTTATGATGAAATGTGAAGACAAAAATGTGCGCAGATAAAATAAACATGATGAAAGTAATGAGAAAAGTGGGACAAAACCTGGAGAAGATACTGAAGGCAATAGGAAGTGTTTTGTGTGTGTATGTGTGTGTGTGTGTGTGTATATGTGTGTGTGTATCAGTAAAAGGGCATGTTTCAATATATTTTCTTTAATCCTAGGAATTCTCTGAATGTTTTTGTTACATGAATATCTTGAGTACATGATTTGTCCATTCTGAAGTTAAAGTTATAATATCTCGATGCAAGCACAATTTCTACTATAGCTCAGCATATATTACTGAAATACAGCTCACTCAAGATATCTGAAAATTTATATCTAACCTAAGCTATATAACGAGTCATGTCAATGAATAATTCTCAAGAAGTCAAATTTAAATTCTGTGCCAGTATCACAAATTTCACCACTTATTTTTTCTTGGATTTTATTCACACTAAATTTATCCCTCCAAATGATTATTAAAACTAATGTTGGGTTGTCAGAAAAGACATGACTTTTTTTGCGATGAAAAACATAGAAAAATACATCATGACTTTTCCAACAACCATATATATATATATATATATATATATATATATATATATATATATATTTGAACATATATTATGTTCAAAGCACTATGCATGTTACATATCTTATTCCTCCTCTTCACTATAAGCTTACAAAATAGATTTTATTAACCTGTACTCTAAATAAGGGTCCTAGGGAATCAACAATTCAGTGACTTTACTGAGCCTTGATAGATATGATTGATGTAGCAGGGAGTCAGTCCAGATATGCTTAGTTCTAAAGTACATGACCTTTAACTTTTATGACTTTATAAGACAGCACTTTCTTTGCTGAAAGACAGGTACTAAGTCATAAGCAACACTTCTTTTGTGTAGTAGGTAGAGCCAAGTACAACAAAAGGCACTTGACATGACCTTACTATTTATATAGCTGTTAAATTCTCTAAGCAAAACATCTTGAACAACAAACATAATCAGCCTTTCCCATGTTTACAAACTTGAACTGTTAGGAATCATGAAGCAAAAAAACCCAAAAAAACCAAGTAAACCCGTATTTTTTTTTCTTTTAAATATCTTGCCATCGTTATGAGATGATTTAACTAAAGCATGGCGAAACAAAAGCCAGATCTACTGACAAGGATTTGGATGTAGTGAGCTGCACATCATATGGTGTTGATTGTACAATAAAGGCTGGTGAGGAATCCAAAATTAATCCCTATCTAGCCTACTAAAGGTTTGCCACTGCAGATGCAAATTCCAGGACTCTCACAGTTCAAATATGAGATCCCTGAGCAAAATCCTTATCTCTAAAGAATGCTGGCTTCCAGCATGATTAATTTTTTTGCAATTTAATCAATGCTAGAAATGTAAAACTCCATGCCTTAGCTTCAAAGAAAATCTCAATAACACAAATTTAAATGTTTGAGAAAAATTATTAGTAACCCATCATTTTCTTGTTATTTTAAGGTGGATTTTGTGTCAAGATTTAGACACATCTGAAAGGACACAAAACCAGTCTCTTGTTAGTATCTTGGTCCTCATAAATCCTTGACCAATTTAATATCCATTTCATTTATTGCCTTGCTACCACTGATTTAATTGTATTTTTATTATAAGCTTTAAGTTTTTTGATAGTGAGATATTGTAAATATCAGCAACTTCTGGATGAGAATTTCTTTTTTTGTCTTATTTCTGTATGACACAAAAAAATACAAAACTGTATTAGAATACTAAAATAGAAGTAAATTATACCATGCATGTAATTCATAAGTTAAAATTCTTTATACAATATATATCCATGTTATAATATATATGGCCCCAGTTGTAGTATAGAAAAAGAATGTGTCCTACATTCCACATATGTCCTGTATGAACTTGTAAACGTTCTTTATCTTTCATTTCCATTTGTAAATAAAAGTTAATATTATGCAAATAATAGGCTGGTCATAGTGCTATAATTACTAATTAGGAAGGTATATGTTATCTTTCAGCAATTAAAAACAGGAAATGCTCCATCTCTTATGTAGAAGCACGGCTAGAGCACAGTTAAATGGAATCACTGATTGAACTTTATTTTTAGAATGGCAAAAACCTTATTTAACATGTCAGTAGAGAAAAATAAATGAAGGTATATTTTATTGAAATACCAGTCTTTCTCATCATAAATTAAACTACTAGTGCCTGTTCAAACTTTTGAAAAACTAAAAATGCTTGAAATATTGTACACACATATGTATAGCTACAATGTACACATATGTTTCTGTGAGCTAAGAAGTACATGTTTTATCTTTCCTTGGTGAAGCATCTGTGATATGACTATAAATGGGTAATATTAAGCAAGACACTCTCTTTAGGAAAGTGGACATCGTTGTTTTGAAATGAGTAAATCTTTCATAAAAAGCGAGATGTTTATTTTTCAAGACAAATAATCAAATCAGTTCCAAATAATTGTTAAATGACAATTTTATAAAAAAACAGAATTTTTTATAACTTCAGTGGCTTTTGGTTGCTATTTTCTATAAATACTGTTAAAATGCTCTGATAATATTAATATGCAATGAAGTACATGAAAAGAAAAACCTGGAGACTTTTTTTTTTTTTTTTCGTGTAGACTGAGAAGGTGAGCCCTGGAAATTTTGCCTCCTGACAATGATCATTGTTAGGAAGACAATCAGAACCTAATAATTATAAATTACTTTTAAATTGATTATGAATGATGCAGCAAATATCTTCTACTGAAACAGAGTATACAATATCCTATTCGTCAAAAAAAATTAACACTAAAATCCAGGAATATATTTTTGTACAGTCTTGTCACCGTTTAATCAAGAGATTAATAATCTTTGGAGCAGATAAGAGAAATTTCAATACATAAAACTCACCTTATCCACGATGCATATCTGCTTTCTTGTTTGAGCATCAAGTATTTCAACCTCAAAGTGAGAAGTTTTTGCATGTTTAACTGCTGGAGTTGATTTTAGAGGGCCTGCTGAAAGTACAAGTTGCGAAAAAGAGTGAAAATTTCTCATGTCATTCTTCAGTATAGCTCCTTGGGAAAAGAATTCCTTCTTGCGTTCTGAAGAAAGGGACTTGGGCCTTTTGAACATTGTGTGAACTACCAGGAGAATCTGTCATGTCAACAGGAGACACTTTGCAAGTATGTTTCCTTTGCACCAGTTAAATACTCCTGGTGAAACCCGAAAGGTCAAGTGGCCTGCCTTTCTAAGAGTTCAGTTTTATTTAGCAGGGTTGAAAACAATGACTGATCTTATTTCTATATATAACACACCATTGTCAATTGCTGCAATGTAGAGGATTACTTTACCAGCCTTTGAATTATTGCTTGCTTTCTCCTTTTATTTCTGCTTCTTAATATGACCAGTAGAATCTGAAATTCCAAAGCAAGAAAGAAATAGACAGAATTTTTATTTTCTCTGAATTCTATATGCATTAATCTTAACACATATTATTATACAAATATTCATATTTAAATGTATTTAAAATTTGCTTAGTGCTATCTCCTGGATAAATATAAAATGCCTAGTATATTATTACATAACAAAATTTTTTAAAGATACTTCCTAATAAAGACTTGTGGCATGTTTTTAATATAGAATCTATCTGATAAGAATTCATGACATGAATTCTTAACTCCATAAGTGAAACACAATGATGGGAAGTTGTATCTGAGATTGAAATATGTAGAGTAATTTTATAAATGAATAAAAAGGAAGTAAACCTTATTTTGACATTTCTACATATTATATTTCATTGGAAAATTATTGAACTTATATACAAAATAAATCAGTACTAAACATCACATTTACCCAAACACTAAGTTATGGCAAATTCAAATAATCTAAGAATAAACAGTGAAAAATAATAATCAACCTGGAAAGACAAATTTGTGAAAAAGACTCCAAGCACTGTGAGACCGGTTAAGAAGAAACAACTGAAAAAAGTCCAAAACATAATTACTGATTCAAAAGGCTATTACAGAAAGATTTTTGGATGTTATTTTCAATGAAAACATTAAAAGGAAAATAGCTAATATTGCAGAGGGTAAATCTGTATATCTAGATGAGGCTAATCTTTACTTTTATAATTAAATAAAATAATGTATTATTTATTTTTAGTTTTTATTACAAATTATACACTGCAGATTTACTTGCACATTATTGAGTTGTCATTTTCATAATCTAGACCACCATTACACTCAATATTTAATATTTTAGAAAACATAGAAGACAGGGATATATGTAAATATGTATGTGCATGTATTTACACATATACACAGACACACACACACACATTTTTATCACCCAAGTGTTCAGGACTCCAAACATGAAATCATTCTTACTGTCTCCCTTTCTCCCACACTTCAGATCTAATTCATCAGAAATCCAGAACAATCTTCTCTCCATCCCCACAGCTAACTTCAGAGCATCAGTCTCACCTGTATTGCTTTTCCAAACTGGTCCTCCTGTATCAACATTGGCCCATCTAAAGTCTCTTTTTAACACAACAGCTAGAGTGTCCAGCATCTATATTAAAGCAGATAATGCAATAGTCTGCTCAATAAACTACAGGGCATGATGCTCTTCCTTTTGCATATTCTCTGAAGAGGTCTAAAAGTTTCTGTTTTATTACCACTTGTTTTATATATATGATCTCATCCCCTAAACTATCTACAATGCTACAATGCACAGAATAACATCTGACACACAGTAGGTGCCCAATAACCATGTATTAAATTAATAAATACATAATCAACAAATGTATCTTGAAGGTGTAGGCAGAGTGATGTCATGCTAATTGAATGGCTGGAGTAAACTATTGCAGTATATTCAAAAGACATAACTGCAACCCATATAATGTATCTCCACAGATAATTTCTATTTTTTTAAGATTTTTATTTAATTATAGCTAAATACAATATTATGTAAGTTTCAGGTGTATGCCATAGTTACTCAACATTTATATACCTGAAGAAGTGATCACCATGATAAATACAGCAACCACCTGACACCATATGACGCTATCACAATATTATTGATTACAATCTCCGTGCTATATGTTACATCCCTATGATTTATTTGTTTTATACCTGGAATTGGAATCTCTTATTCTGCTTCACCTTCCCCCTTTCAAATTCAATTACAGTTGACATTCAATATTATTTTATATTAAATTCAAGTGTAGATCGTAGGGGTTAGACATTTATATAATTTAAGAAGTGATCCCGCTGACTGGTCTAGTACCTACCTGGCAGTATACATAATTATTACCATATCATTGACTATATTCCCTATGCTTTACATCCCCATAACAGTTTTGTAACTACCAATTTGTACTTCTTAATCCTTTCACTTTTTCACTCTGCCTCCAACCTCCCATATATCACCCCAGTAAATCCAATACCCATTTGACAACATACATAGTTATTACAATATTATTGACTGTATTCCTTACACTATACCTATATCCCCATGACTACTGTGTAACAACCAATTTGTACTTCTTAATCCCTTCCCCTTTTTCACCCATCTCTCCAATACCCCTCCGATCTTTCAACCATCAAAATGTTCTCTGTATCTATGAGTTTGTTTCTGTTTTCTTTGTTTATTTGGTTCTTTAGATTCCACATATAAGTGAAACCATATTGTATTCTGTGTTTCTCTGTCTGAGATACTATTATACAATAAGCACAACACCCTCCAGGTCCATCAATTCCACCACACATGGCAAGAACTCATTCTCTTCCATGGCCAGGTAATTTTCCATTGTATATATGTACTACCTCCTCTTTATCCATTTTTCCATCGACAGACACCCAGGGGGCCTCCATATCTTGGCCATTGTAAACAATCCTGCAAAGAACATATGGATGCACATGTCTCCTTGAAGTAGTGTTTCGGGTTTCTTTGGATAAATACACTGAAGTCAGATTACTGGATCCTTCTTTGTCTCGTGTTAGAGCCTTTGTTTTAAAGCCTATTTTGTCTGGTATAGTTATTGATACCCCAGATGTTTTTTTCCCATTTTCATGAATTATCTTTTTCCTATCCCTTTACTTTCAGTCTGTGTGTGTCTTTTGAACTGAAGCAAGTCTTATGTAGGAAGCATATGTAAGGGTCTTGTTTTGTCATCCATTCAGCTGCCCTATCTTTTGATGGGAGCATTTGATTCTTTTACATTTAAAGTAATTGTTGATGGATATATAGTTATTGCCATTTTATTTTTCATATTGATGATTTTTAATTATAATTTACTGGGGTTACAATGGTTAGTAAAATTAAATAGATTTCAAGTGTACAATTCTGTGTGTGTTCACCACCCAGCGTCAGTCCTCCTTCCATCACTATATATTTGACTGCCTTTACCCTCTTCTTGTACCCCCCTCCCCTCTTACTTTTTGGTAACCACTAAAATATTGTCTGTGCCTATGAGTTTTTTGTTTATTTGTTTATCTTGTTCCTTTGTTATTTTCAGTTTTATATCCCACATATCAGTGAAGTCATATGATTCTTGACTTTTTCTATCTGACTTATTTTGCTTAGCTTAATAATATCAAGATCCATCCATGTTGTCTCAAATGGCATTATTTCATCTTTTCTTATGGCAGAGTAGTATTCCATTGTGTATATATACCACATCTTCATTATCCAATCATCTATCAAAGGATACTTTGGTTGTTTCCATGTCTTGACCACTGTAAAAAAAGCTTAAATGAATATCGGAGCACATATATCTTCACAGGTAAATGTTTTCAGATTTTTTTGGGTAGATACCCAGGAGAGGGATTGCTGGGTCATATGGTAATTCTAGTCTTAATTATTTGAGGCACATCCACACTGCCTGCCATGTTGGCTGTACCAATCTACATTCCCACCAACAGCGTATGATGATTCCTTTTTTTCCACAGCCTATCCAACACTTGTTATTATTTATTTTGTAGATGATAACCACTCTCTAACTTGTATGGGATCATATCTCATTATGGTTTTTATTTTCATTTCTCTGATGATTACTGATGTTGAGCATCTTTTCGTATGTTTATTGGCCATCTGTGTGTCCTCTTTGGAGTAATGTATATTCAGGTGCTCTGCCCATTTTTTAACAGGATTATTTATTTGTTGTTGTTGAGTTGTATGAGTTCCTTATATATTTTGGATATTAGCCCCTTATTGGAGGCATTGTTTGCAAATATCTTCTCCCATTTGGTTGGTTGCCTCTTTGTTTTGTTGATAGTTTCTTATTGATTGATTGATTGATTGATTGATTTAATTTTAAAAAGTCTCTCCAAGATTTCTTGTAATTCTAGTTTGGAAGTGATGAACTCCTTTAGCATTTCTCTTGTCTGGGAAGCTCTTTATCTATTTTTCAATTCTAAATGATAGCTTTGTTGGGTATATTAATCCTGGTTTTAGTCCTTCCTAAAAGGAAGATCCTTTATTACATTGAATATTTAATGCCATTCTCTTCTGTCCTCCAAAGTTTCTGTTGAGAAATCAGCTGACAGTCTTTGGGAGCTCTCTTATAGGTAACTAATGCCTTTCTCTTGCAGCTTTTAGGATTCTTTCTTTGTCTTTAACCTTTGGCATTTTAATTATGATGTGTCTTGGTGTGGGCCTTGTTAGGGTTCATCTTGTTTGGGACTCTGCAGTTCCTGAGAGTTGTATGTCTATTTCCTTTGCTAGATTTGGTAAGTTTCCTGTCATTATACCTTTAAATAGGTTTTCAATTTTTTGCTCACTCTCTTCTACTTTTCATACCAATATTGCAAATGTTAGTACCCCTTAAACTATCCTTATTTTTTTTAATTATTTTGTCTTTCTGCTGTCCTGATTGAGTGTTTTAAGCTACTTTATCTTCTAAATCACTGATCTGATCTTTTGCTTTATCTAATCTACTATTGATTCCTTCTAATATATTCAGCATTTCAGTTATTGTATTCTTTATTTTTAACTGGTTCTATTTTATATTTCCTATCTCATTATTGAAGTTCTCCCTGAGATCATTGAACATCATTTATTACCAGTGTTTGGGACTCTGCATCTGGTAGATTGCTTGTTTCCACTTTAGTTCTTTTTCTGGAGCTTTGTTCTGCTCTTTTATTTGGTACACGTTTCTTCATCTCCCCATTTTGGCTGATGCCCTTTGTTTGTTTGTATGTATTAGGTAGGACTGCTATGTCTTCTG